CACCCCAAAACTACTTCTTCTATCCCTACAGGAGTGGGCTCAGCAGAGGGCCTGGCCTTTGACCCAATGCAGCAACACCTGTACTGGACCAGCTACTCGGGCTCCACAATCAACCGCCTGAGCTTCAGCAAACAGAGCACCATCAGCAACAGTCATGAGATAGTAGTGCAGCTGGACAGCCACGACCATCCCCGAGACATTGTGGTCAGTGCATGCAAGAGGTCAGTAAAGATGCTTGCCCTGGCGACAGCAGTGTGTAGTTAGAATGTTCTCTTCCCCCCCCATCCTCTGGTCCACAGTGCTTATGGTTCTCTCTCCTGTTGTCAGAGAAGCCAGCAGTGTGTAGATCAGTGTCTCAGCTCTAAGCATTTAGCTCAGGGTTATAGTGAAATTTATATTGTTGAGAACGCAGTCGTGGAACTGTCCTAAAAGGTGGAATTTTAGTTCCCTTTAGGACTAACACCCCCCCCCCCCCATAATCTTTAGTGTCCCTTTTACTCCTTTTCTATTTATAGTGTCCTAATTTCTCCCTGTGAGACTGTTGGCACAACATCTCAGATGTATATATTATATTGTTATGTTGTAGTTTCATTTACAAGGATGTATGTTCCATTTATACTCATGTGACAGACAATTATAGTTAACTGAACATTCTGTTATGATATTGATACTGATCTGAGGGACTGTGTGTTACAGACGTATTTTCTGGACCAACTGGAGTGACCGACGTCCATCCATCCAGACGGCAATCATCAACAACCAGTGGAAAGGAAAATTCATCACAGAGTCCATTATTACGGACCAGATCCGAACCCCCAATGGCCTGGCCATTGACCACCGTGAGCAGAAATTGTACTGGTCAGATGCCCGGCTGGACAAGATTGAACGATGCAACTTTGATGGCACCGGCAGAGTGGTATGTTAAGGTTCCCAAAGTTTGAATCCTGAGGGCCATTTTTGCTTGAGTACTGACTTTGATGCCAGTGGAGCAAAGATAAATTAGCATAAATGTGTGTGGTGTGTGTGTGTGTGTGTGTGTGTGTGTGTGTGTGTGTGTGTGTGTGTGTGTGTGTGTGTGTGTGTGTGTGTGTGTGTGTGTGTT